GAAGAGGTAGAATATGGCGATTTAATTCAAAAGGTCTGTTCGGTCCGACCACTTATGCTGCTCGTTCTTTTTAGACACAGAGATAACTGGCCGAGCAGAATGAAGGAAGGCCCTCCTAATCCGAAAACTTCCCGACACAAGTTGTAACTCTTCGAACTCAGTCGTCCCTTCTCTCAGAACAAGGAGAAGGTTAGAAATTAGATCAGATGTGTCTCCTACTGGGGCTAAGAACGCAGGGAAGAGTGTACGACACTGGGGTTTCCGTGACCATCAAGAAGGCATTGTCTGTGAAGCGTCTGCTGCTCCAGGGAACTCAGCGAAAGGCTCCTCACAAGGGAACTCCGAATCCGTGATAAACACCTTGATATCACCACTGGTGTCTATGCCCCCACAAGGAGAAGATGTGATAACGGGATACACCAGTTTTGAAGAGGTTTTTGCTCCGTCTTGGAGCTTCATCGAAGACGGAAATGAATGTCAGTCTCAGATGTTTCTTTTAATAAGCGTCCAGAGACTGTGCCCCATGCGATGTGTGTGTGTGCACGGTCGCCACGATTTCATTAAATGCAACAGCAAAGAATCTCTTCCCTACAAGACTTGATGGAACCAGTCTCTCCGCTTTTATCGCCATTTTACGCCTTCCCAGTCAAACGAAAACTGCTGACATGCACCAGCCCTGCGTTACTGACAATTGCTAAATTATCTGCGCGTTCGAGGAAACATCGCAGGGGCTAACTGGTAATAAAAGCTTTATCAAGAGTCGGTAAGAACATTGCATCAAGAACGTAAAACGGCCCACTATTGAATAAGATGAAACCCTACCTATAGCTCATAAGTAGGATGGGTGGCAAACTACGCCACTTTCCAACGAGGAAAATAAAAACGATTGAACGCAACTACAGCCCACTGTGAGACGCGATCCATGCTGTTACCGAATAATTTCTTGGGCCGACACCATGACTGATTCGACAAAAACAACCAAATTCACAAAACATCCACGAGTGGCAGGAATGGCGCGAAGGAAGCCGCGTTGTCCACGTGACAAGGCCACCTGTCATACAGTCCGCGGAAGTTGCAGAATATCTGGCTGGTCCACAAGGCAGGAAAGAATCAGATATGTTGTTTGAGACAAATAAAACTTTTTTACGGTGTGCGTCACATGGACGGCCGAAGCGTCACCGTCTCTTTAGGATTTGTGGTCGCCTCTGCCGGATTTCCTGTCAGGCAAAATTAATTGAACTGCATCTTAACTATAAACAAGGAGCAAATTCTGCTATGTCGGCGTTACGGCGAGACTATTTGACAGTGCGGAATAGCCGTCGTGAAAAGATTAATTTTGAGTCTTTCGCGACATGGACATAGTGATCAATTTTTTTCTATCCATTTGACGAATTATGCCTTCGCGTACGTTGGCGAAGGGAAGAAAATCGAGCATCGTTCCTAGATATGGACGTAATTACCTGATATGGTTTGTCTGCAAGACCAAACCCGGCAGCACACTTTAACTCAGACCCCTGATCCACAGTTATCGAGGGCGGTCGCGTGACAGTTGACGATTGAATGATCAAGATTTTTACTGATGAAAATAAAGGAGGCTTTAGGACCATTTTCGGCTTGTGTGCAATCGACAGTTAGAAACACGTGAGCCTGACGCACGTGACCTTATAGTCGAATCCACACTTCCGGGCTTTTGAGAATAGTTGCACTATTGCAAAGCCAAAGCTTCACACTCTAACCGGCATATGACCGCCTGCGCTGGTTCAGGTCCGGAGCATCAAGCAAAGTGGAGCGCCGTCCTCCGTCTCACAATCGGTCCATATCGATATTAGCCAGTTTCACGTGGCTTTCAGCATTTCTATTACAGCCCGCTGATTATGAATCGACAGCTCAGTCGTACTGCATTAGAGCTCAAATTTTACTTACTTGAAGCCAATACGGGATATGATGGTTGGTTGCATTATTCACAAAGACAAACCTTTTCCAAGATTCGCAGCATGGCGCCTTGATCCAGAAGCAGTTTGGACTTTTAGTAGAGTACGTATTGGAGAGTTTTACGGATTTAAATTAATTTCCCTAAGCTTACGGAATCAGACAGTGTCCAAGTAGGTAAGAACGAGGCGTTTTGTTTAAAGTTAATAAGAATAAATTAATACCACTCAAGAAAATTAGGACAATTTTCTACTGTGCACAATTAAAAGAAATTCCTCCCAAAAGTGTTCTTTGAAAATGTTACTTAATCTATTTGCCAGTTGCCGCCAGTTAAAGTCAGCTGACCTCAATATTAGGATTCCTGGATATAATCGGAAAGAAGGAGGGGAGAAATGTTTACTAGGTGGAAAATCTATTTCATGTCCACACTTTCCTCGGTTTCCCATCACGTCAACAACACTGACGTTATTTTAGGGTTTTGGATAGGATGAATACATATTCGCACCAAATCAATTTTCCGAAGTGTTCATGTACGTGAATAGCAGCTGCGAAAGCACTAAACGTCTTTCCTGATGGCGTGGAGTTTAGTTCGCTTACAAAGTGCAGGAAACCAGTTGGTACC